TTTTAATGTCTTAAGTCCCGGTTCATGATTTCAGTCCCATTTTCAGTAAATTCTGGGTTCAGTCCAAATTCAGTAAATTCATGTCAGTTCAGTTCCGAGTCTAATCAGTTCTGGTTATACCGGTTAAGTCCAGATATCATGTTTAAATCCAGTAGAGCCTCTTAACATATTAAACAGATATTTTATCAGTCTGAGCATAGTATTTAGTAATTGTTTATATTATTTACAGTTTGATTAGGATATGGACATCAGCACTTACATTTTCAGATCAGCAGTTCAGGTGGGGACTCAGACTGGGTATTACATTGATTATAATTATTCTACCATGTTTAAGGTATGTATTATCAGTTCAGTATCCGCTCGGAATGGTCGTCGGTCCATTCTGGGTTCTAGTGGCCCTAGTCTGCCCACTAGAGTGTGCACATGGTGTCCGACATTTTTATGCTAGCAGATGAGGTAACGGTCAGGTTCATGTGATGATTCTTATGATGATTCATGTGATGATTATCAGTTCATGCTATTCAGTACCGGTTTTATGTTCATGTTCATGCCAGGATCATGTTATTGTAATTATTTTCACTGTTTACTTCAGTATGGGTTTCCACGGGGCACAGTGGACTTGAGTGCTCACGCCCCACTTTTATCATGTTTTTCAGGTCATGAAGTCGGGACAGAGGTGCGAGATGACGGAGCTGTTCGGGATTATACTTATAAAGTTTAAATTACCTAAGCTTTATGCTTATAAAGATTAAATTATGTTATGTACAAAAGGAATTTGGCAAAGGAGTGTCGATATAACTTTCAGATATCATATTTTCACGACTACGGCACTGTTAACCAAATTCCCGGCTACAGCTTCCGCTGACAGTTCTCTGTTTGTCAAACTTAGCCCATTTAATCAGTCAGCAAGCTGTTAATTGGTTTTCAAAACCAAAAGTTCAGATTTATCAGTCAGTTATGTATTTTAGTAACACTCCGAATCAGTATTTCGCAATGTAAAATGTTTTTTTTTTTCAATGTAATTGCGAATTGTGCACTCTGATAAGGTAAAAAGTCGGGGTGTTACATGTTGAATCTCAACTAACTCTGCCTTCTCTCTACTTTCTCTCTCTAAGAACTGTAAGAAAACTCTTGTAAGAATTGTAAGTATATCGTAAGTGTCGACCTCGTACGAGAGGCCGACCTCGCGATCGTTTAATAAAATCATAATTAACCCGTATCTTTTCCTCCTTTTTTGTCCCGTACTTTCATCGTTTATTATTTTAACCGTTGATCAAAACCGTTCATCAACATAATGTACTTCTTGTGTTTTAATTAAAAATATTAATGCAAAAAATTGAATAGATCATAAGAATGTAAAAGAGAAAAAAATAAATTAAAATCATATTAACATATAAATTATGTGCACTTTACTTGTACTTTAGTAGTTTGGTAATGAACGGTTAGCTATTAGAGGATTGTATTAGCTGATTTGACCAGTGGATTGCATTAGCTGTCTTGACCAGCTGGTTGTTTTAGGTGTTTGTAAAAAAGTGTTTGGTAAAATAGCTATTTTTATTTAACTGGTTACCCTGTAAAATTACATATAATGACATCAACATAGTTGAAATTTATTTTTATGTGGATATCTATAAAGTAAATCACAAATATTTATGCATTATTTTAATATTAACAAAAAAAAAGTATGATATTAAATCTATATCTATATAATGGACCAATCCTTATTGCCATACTTGGCATGATTTTAGGCGGTAAATATTTTTGTCTATATTTGACATTTAATTAATATTTATTTATTAGCAAACCTTATACATGAAAAATATAATTAATTTTTATACACTCAATGATTTTTACTCATTAATACAAATTGTCTTAAATTAAAATTTTGACCATAGATTTATTATATATTTTTTCAGTAAGATCTTATATTAACTTAATAGTAATTTATTGTCACAATTCAAAAAATTATTATAGGAATTGATTTGATTAAATATATTATCATCTATGGTTGTATGTGTTAATTTAATTAATTATATTCACTATTCATAAGTACATAAAATATTTAATAAAATAATCAAAATAACTTTGTTTCAATCATAATAACTTAATAAGTAATTTAAAATATTAGTAAAAGTTTATAAAATGTAGTCAATTTAACTATAAAAAAGTACATCCCCATTGAATATATCATATGCAGTGATAATAGTAATACTATTGAAAATTTAAATAATATACTAATAAAAATAAAATTTGTTGGTCGAGTGCAATTCATAATTATAAATTTCACCTTAGAAGTATCTGTGCGCATTCAAAAACTATTCAACTTTTAAAAATATATATATTTTTTTCTTATATACTATTTTATAAATGAAAAATATGTTAATAAAAAAGCAATGTATAATAATATAAATTATAGCCCTTGGTAATTATAGAAATATATAATATAGCTAAATATTCGAATAGATACTATCTAACTCATTATATAAGTTGAAAAAAAATATTTAAAGAAATAAATATAAATAAAAAACAGAAACATAAAAATAAAGTATTTAACCATAAAAAATTTGTGTGTTGCATAAGGATTAAAGTTACTAAAAATTTAAATTTATTTATCACATTTTTTAACATTTCATGCATTTAATAATTATAGCGGAAGATAAATATTATGGGTTAAACGTTGGTCAATTATCAAGCAATGTGCAAATTATGAATTGTTAAAAAAAAATATAAGACTATGATAAAAGACGATTTTATAAGTACATAAAAATAATTGGTATGCAAATATCACATGATCTCATAATTTATATTATTTTATAGACTTATAATTAATAAAATTTATATATTAAATAGTCAAAAACTAAAACTATATATATACATATAAATAGAAATTAACAATAATAGAATAAATTAACGTCGTATTATTACTGAATAGAATATTGTTGAAAATATAATTTCATATCGTCATTTTATAATATTTAAATAAAAATTATTTTTGTATTGCACCCCGTGCATCGCACGGGTATCAACACTAGTATATTTAAATTACTTTTCATATGTATCATACTTAATGTAAAAACTAAATAGATAATAGGGAAATGTTTATTTGTCTAAAAGTAGAAGCACAAATGTTTGAATGGAAAATAAGACAAATTTTATTTAGACTCTTTCTTCTTGAAATGTGATTGTGTGATTGTGCAAATTGTATTGTTCTGGATTTTACATCTCATTGTTTAGAGATTAGTTCCACTTTATTTAACATAAACAACATACTTTTACTTATATCTTTTTCGAGCAATATTTGTCGGCATCCGTCTACTTTGAAAATAACTCGGTTTCATTTTTCTTTTCTTTTTTTCAAAAACACATCTAATTCGATCTTTAACCATAAAACTGAATTCAATTTTTTTAGGAAATTAAATTATTTTCAATTTTATTTTAATGGAAATAACATAGTTTATTTCTATCTTGTTCGAGCAATTATTGTTGGCGTTCGTTCAACAATGAAAATAACTCGATTTTCACTTTTTTTTTTTCGACAACACATCTTACTCGCTCTTATACAATACAATTACTTTTTTTTTCAGATACTAAATTAATTTCAATTTAGAAACTGGTGTTTGAATTTAAATCTAAATTGTTTTTAAATGGCAATTTTGCAATTGAAATTAGGGGCAATTTTGCCATTATGGCGCACAAGTAATTATTTGTTTTGTTTTTTTTTTTTAAATGTAATTTGCCATCAAATTGCCCACAAGTATTTCAACAATATGTTTTTTCAATAATTTTGCCATTATTTAGGGGTAATTTTGCCGCAATTATTCATTTGTACCAAAAAAAAAAACTGAAAAGTCAAACAAAAACGCTCTATTATGTAGCGTTTTGAATTTTAACTTTTTGAGTAAAAAAGCTATAAAGAAAAGTTGTTAACCAAACACTCATTTTTAGCGGATCTCAAAAATCAAATAAGACAAACGGCTAATTATGTGGAAAACGATGTTTTTCCAAACATCTCCAAAGAGGAGCAATTTACATATTTGTTAACATATAAAAAACAACCGGACAAAAAACAAGAAAAAAAAGGGGGAGTGTACAGAAATCAAAATCACGTATTCACTGAATACGTTTTTGTATAATTTAATTAAAAAACGTATTCACTGAATACGTTTTTTATATAATTTAAATGAAAAACGTATTCACTAAATACGTTTTTCACATTTTTTTATAAAAGAAAACGTATTCACGGAATACGTTTTTCCATTTTATTTTTCAAAAGCCGTATTCCTTGAATACGGGCTTTTGATT